CATTGTGGTAAACTATGCTCAATGACATGAGACAAAGTATATGTGAACTGCTGTATGGAAAGTGAATTTGCTCTGTAAATCTTCACCCAAATAAAAATTAATTAATTTAAAAAATAAAATAAAATAAAACACAAGTAAATATCTTTCTGGTATTCTTTGCTTTCAGTCAAGATCCATCTGACATCGGCAATGATATGCCTCATTACACGTCCTCTTCTGAATCCAGCTTGCATTTCTATTTCTGGAAGTTCTCTGTCAATATACTGCTGCAAAAGTTTTTAAATGATCTTCAGTAAAATTTTATTTGTGTGTGATGTTAATGATATTGTTTGATAATTTCCACATTCTGTGGGATCACCTTTCTTTGGAATGGATCTCTTCCAGTCAGTTGGCCAGGTTGCTGTCTTCCAAATCTCTTGCCATGGCTGAATGAGTGCCTCCAGCATGGCATCCATTTGTTGAAACATCTCAGTGGGTATCCTGTCAATTCCTGGAACTTTGTTCCTTCAGTGCAGCTTTGACTTTTTCCTTCAATAACATTGGTTCTTGATCATATGCTACCTCCTGTAATGGATGAACATCTCCTGTAATAGATGAACATCGACCAACTCTTTTTGGTACAGTGACTGCCTGTATTCCTTCCATCGTCTTTTGATATTTCCTGCATCATTCAATATTTTTCCCATAGAATCTTTCAATATTGCAACTCGAGTTGGTATTTTGTTTTGATCTTTTTTTCTGATTGATCCCTTACCAAAGTAGTGTTTAGGTAGTAGTAGAATCTCACTGATTCTGTCTTCCATTGATACAATTACTCCTTTGCCCTTTCAATGTGTTATCTATTTCTGAAATTTTAGTATTACTCTTCTGGATTTCTATCTGTAGATTTTGTATCATCTCTAATTTTTCATTTATTTTGTCATTTTGTTCTTGTATTGTCTTCCCAAAGTGTTCTAGAGTTTTGTCTGTGTTTTCCTTGATCTGTCTCTCAATCTGTTGAAGGTACCCACATATAATTCTTTTGAATTCCTTATCAAGGAGTTCCAATGCTCCTTCCTCAGTGATGTTTTCTGAGTCTGTATCCTGGTCCCTTGTTTCTATTTCTTTGTTTTCCTTCTTTTGTGGACTGTGATGGTCTGTTGTCTCTGAGACATTGTGACATTATTTATATTTAATTGGTGATTGTAATTGGGTGTGATTCACTCAAGATTTTTTTTTCTTTGTTTTGTTTTGATATATCTGAATAAGCAGGGTACTGTGCTTTTCTGTGCACTTGTTGGCAGCACTCATGCACTCACCACCTGTCTCCTGGTAGGTGTGATAGAGAATGTGAATGTGTGCACAGATCTCTGTCAGCTGTTTGTGAAGAGCAGTTAAGAGTGAGTTGGGCTCATATTGGCTGTCATCTATCACTGGCCAATTGGTGCAGAAGCAAGTGGTGGCCCTGACTCAGAAGGTGGGGCTGCAGGAGATGCAGGAATGTTGGGTAATATGGGCATGGTTGCTGTCTCTCACTCAGTTAGACAAAAACATTTAAAAAAAAAAAAGTAAAAACAAGAGGACTGTCTTCAGCAAGCAAAGCATATTCCTAGGTCACTGGGATGTAAATGCTGCTGCTTTAAATATTCCAGATGGTCACACCACTTGTACATATTCAAAATTGGTGTAACCAAAATTCCACAGCTCAGGTTGTCTCCTTCTTTGCTATTTCCCTTTTTAGTCACCAGCCATCAGTGCAGTTGTCCATAGAGCCTTTGGTGAGCAGGGCCAAATTTTAGATTACTGGCTCAGGTCCTAACACTACTTGTAAATATTCAAACTGACTACCCCAGCAGGATAGCTGACAGTCTGGAGCTCTGTTTGTCTCCTTATTCACAGTTTTCATTCAAATTCTTCTACTAGCTGGTATTTAACCCACTTCTGTATCCTTCTTTTCAAAGTTCAGGGCTCCAGGATTATCTTCTGTATCTGTGTTAATTGGTTTCTGTTTTCCTTGTTGAATAGTGTCTGTGTAACTTGTCTGTCTATTCTGCCATCTTACTGGAAGCATAGGTCTTCCTCTTTTTTGCTGACCCTCCACTTTACCAAGTATGATGTGCTTCTTCAGGAATTGCTCCCTCCTGATACCAAACCAAACCAAACCCACTGCCCTCAAGTTGATCCTGGCTCATAGTGATTCCCCAGTACCTCCTGATAATATGTGAGACAAAGTCTTGATGTCCTCACTTCTAAGAAACATTCTGGCTGTACTTCTTCCAAGGTATAATGTGTTTGCTCTCTAGCAGTCCATGGTATAGTCATTTTTGCCAACATCCTAATTCAAATGAATCAAGTCTTTGGTCTTCCATGTTTTGGGTCAGGCACACCTTAGTCCTCAAAGTGATATCTTTGCTTTTTAACACTTTAAAGAGGTCTTTTGCAGCAGATTTGCCCAATGCAATACATTTATTTCTTAACTGCTGCTTCTATGGGCATTTATCATAGATACAAGTAAAATGAAATCCTTGACAATTTTAACATTTATTCTGTTTATCATGATGTTGTTTGTTGGTTCAGTTGTGAGGATTTTTCTTTTCTTTGCATTAAAAAGTAAGCCATACTGAAGGCTGTAGTCTTTTATATTCATCTGTAAGTGCTTCAAGTCTTCTTCACTTTCCAACTTTCTCATTCCAATCTCCAGTAATTATCAATGTGTTGTGATTGTGGAAGTTGGTAAAAATCTTCAGTTTCTTCATCTTTTGCATCAATGATTGGTGTGTAAATTTGAATAATAGTCATATTAACTGGCCTTTCTTGTAAACATATCAATATTGCTCTATCGCTTACAGCTATTTTATTTCATCATTGGACTTCAAATGTTCTTTATGACCATGAATATGACACCATTCCTCTTCAATCTGTCATTTCTGGAATAGGAGACCACATGATTCTTCAATTCAAAGTGGCCAAACCAGTCCATTTCAGCTCACTAATGCCTAGGATATTGATATTTAAGCATTCTATTTAATGTTTGACAACTTCAAATTTTCCTAGGTTCATACTACATACACATTCCAATTATTTTTATTTATTTATTTATTTTTATTATTGTGATTTGGGTGAAGATTTACAGAGCAAATTCACTTTCCATATAGCAGTTACATATCCTCAATGCTGCCATATTGGTCACTCACATTTGGTACATTGCCCTTCTCTTCACCCAAATCAATA